TGTCGGGCGCTTGTGGTTCCTGCCCGCCCATGGGGCTCGACGTACCTTCGCGCGTCCTGCGTGCCCCCCCCCCTCCCCCCTCATTGAGCGAAAAGGGGGCACGGGCATAGAGAGCGGGGTGAGGTAGGCGAACTCTCCTTCAAATACTTAGGGCCGCTCGGCTCGGCATGGGCCCGCGCGCATCGCATCAAAACGGAAGCGCAACTTCCTCCGTGGATACGACGGGACGAGTCTTAATAGTCAGGGGTCGTGGGCCATAACTTGCCCCGTAAGCAATGCCTCTGAGAGTAATCAACAGCGTAGTTCAGCTGTCAAGCCGAGACAAGAAACTTCTTCCTCATATCCCACTGGTGGCTTGACATTCGTCACGGTGCTCTTCGCCTTCTGGCGTCTTCGAAATTATATGAACCCCTCGTAGTATCAGATCATCCAAATTAGTCGTGTCAGACAGGGATGAAAGCACGGCGTTGTCGCTGGTGAGTCCGTCGGAGAAATTCAAAGCACTGGGGGTCCTAAACGCGCGCTGTCGGCAAACATTCCATGAGTCCGCCCTTGCGCGTAACACTTCCATGCCCGTGTGGGCGCTGCTGTGTCTGGTGCCGAAGCCTTATTTGCTGTGCCAGGAATTGTAGACACTTCGGCTGTTGCATATCAGAACGGACTCGACTTGACGACCAGCTTCTGATTGAATGTGTGCAGTCACGTCCACCCATGTAATGCGCCCACAATAACCGCATTTGAGACGTCGCATCCTCGCCGTCGTGCAGAGCTCCCCCTCGCAAGCGTGGGTGCTGAAACCGTTGCGTCGTAGCTTGCGGGAACGCCCGTCGAGAGTGGTCACGTGACTCTTCTTGTCCTGCATGGTGATTGGTGGCGGAAGTCCCCGCGCTGTAATAGTCGGCTGGCGTCCATCCAGGTGGCGAGCAGCATGTGGCGCCACTCCAGGCCCCTGCCACCTGGCGTGCGCTTGCAACTGTGGAAGATCAGGCTGTCCCTGGATGTCCGCTTGGCGTCCCTGATGATACTGTTCCCCTCGGATAGGGCAACCCGCGGGAAAGCTGCGGTGCCGTCTGCGTACCTCGCCACTGGCGCTTCATTATTCCAGCCCAGAACTGCGCGATGTCCGCCGCGACGTCGGGCTTGTCGTCGTTGTCATGATACTCGGTGGTGTCCATCCTGATGTTCGCGAGCTGCTGGCAGTCTTGACCTGAGTCGCGTGAATATTGCCGTCGGTCTGCTGCTCGGTCCAGATGCCGGCCCAATTGCGCGACGAAGATCGCCGCGGCGACTGGCGCAGCATCGCCCTCCACATCGAGTGGGCCTTCACGAAGAAAGGCTGGTCCTGGTCCCTTGCCGCGCCGAAGTCGCGCGCGTGGGCTCGTGCGACCTGGCGAACTTTGATGGCGTCGCCCTCGATGGTCAGTTGCACGGCCCCATTGTGCTGCGTCTTCCAGCGTCTAGATTCTGCCATCAGCAAACTTCGAGCACGCCCGCGGGGCGTTCGTGATGGCGCAAATCGCCGCAAAGACTCGTATAGCTTCGCGTTTACTATCTTCCAGGGCCGGTCGAAAAAATGCCGCGCCTCAGGCGCGCAGTTTTCGCTGCTCTTCTGCTGGCCCCGCTGACAGAAATGCCGACTTCGCGCCCGCTCGCTTGAGCGTCCAGTCGTGGAAGGCGGCCTACTGGAGCATGGTGAGCTTTCCCTTAGTCGAGAGCACAGGCGATGCCGTTGGTATTGCCCGCCCGCCTGCGAGTATGATCCTGGCATTGGCCTTGCACTCCTTTGAGTTCGTCGTGACAGGGCGCCGTTCAATGGGATGTAGAGGCCGGGGGGTGGGGGGGGGGGCTTCTGGGTGAGTGGCCGCCTCGTCAAGCTGAACGTCGCTCACCGAGCAGAGGAGGTGCCTAATGCCCGTTGCCCTCGGTATCGTTTGCTGCCGCGTTGCGCATGTCGAGGGTGGCCGAAGATGCCGAGCTTTGGCCGGGGCAAAACGGACGCGGCCCCGCCTGGGCGAACGGCCATTTTGTTTTGCCGCGCTCTTGTCTCTTCGGCTTGGGCGCCGCCTTCTCGGTCAAGCACGGGGCCCGCTCCAGTCGATGTCTACTGCGCCCTACAGATAGTCAGGCATGTGGGTGCGATTTGAGAACTCGCCCCGGAGACCCAAATCGCACGAAGGCACCGGGCAGTTGGCCCAGCCAGGCCCGGGGTCGTCGGCGCAGCCATCTTTTTGGGAAAAAAGGTTCGGCGGCAAGTCGCGGGCGATGGGCTCGGCGAGCGGCGCTGGGAAATGCATGCGGGGCCCCCCGCAAACGGTGGCGCGGGTCCCCTTTCGGACGTGTCAGCGTCGCCTCGGGCGTCGGATCCGCGTGCGGATCCGCGTGCGGATCTGCTGCGGTTCCGCAGCTTCTTGGACGGATCCCGTGCGAACTCGTTGGATTTGGACGGGTCCGAAGGGGGGAGGTCAAGTGTTTTGCGCGGATCCTGTCTGACCGCTGTACCCATGTATAATGCAGATGAAGGGCGGCCGCAGAATCTGGGGGCGACTTGCCCAGAACGCGGGGCTAGGCGCCTAATAACATTTTACCGAGGCTCTCCTGCTCGAGTGCTCCTCTGGCGGCTCCTTGCAAAATTTACTGAGCTGCTCCTTTGGGTTCCGACGCTTGGACCGTCGCGCGTTCTGATCACTGGACCTCGCCGTCGGCGGCCTCGTCGTCGTCGTGCTCGCAGCCGTCGCCGACGTCGCCGTCGTCGCCGTCATCGTCGCCTTCGCCGCCCCGCTCATGCGCCCCCCCTCACCGGGACCTTCGGTGGAGCTCCTTATGGGGCAACGAAACGTGTGAGAGGTGTGCCGAGAGCAGAGGCAAGGAGGGGGAGGAGCGAGGAGGGGGAGGAGGGAAGGAAGGAAGGAGGAAGGAAGGAGGAACGCGGGGCACCGTCTCTTCAAAACGAGGACCCAAAACCACAGGATGTTTGGGAAAAACCCACGATCCCACATCCATGCGCCAGCTTCGCATGCAGAGGGGCCGTCCAAGTTCACTCCATCTAAGTGCGATCGCGCCTCATGCTCTCGACTTGGGCAACCCCACGTGATGATATAAAAATCGCAAACGAAAGATGGTCACTTCGGGTACTCTGCGGCTTCGCAAGAGTCGCATCGAACATGTCGACCTGGAGACTGGCGAGGACAAGGACATGGACAAATGGAACAGGATTGGGAGGGCGAGGGCGCTGAATTCGGGAGTCTTCTGACCTGGGTCAATCCAGACCCGGGTCAGTCAGGCCTTGCAGAATCCTGCGAGATCCTGCACCCAAACCAGGGTCAATGCCAAGGATCCTGCAAGACCATGCAGGATCCTGCACCCAAGCCTGGGTCAGTGCGACTCTGGCCCTGCAAGATCCTGCAAGATCGGGCGCTCTGGCTGACCCCCGATTGCATGACCCCCGTCTCAAGGCTCCCGATGTGTGAGGAGAGGGGGGCACCAGGTGAGGAATTAGGGGGAGGGGGGGGGGAAGGAGGGTAAGGATGAGGAAGATGGCGAGGAGGAAAAGGAGGAGGCCGAGGAAGGAGGACGAAGATAAAATTGACAAAATGTATGAAGATGTGAAGAAAGAGGATGCAGTGTACGGAAGAGGTGGGCGAGGGGTGAGGAATCAAGGGCAGGAGTGCGGGAAGGCGGGTGAGGATGAGGACCATGGGGAGGAATGGGAGAAGGAGGATGATGAGTAGTAGTAGTAGTAGTAGTAGTAGTAGTAGTAGTAGTAGTAGTAGTAGTAGTAGTAGTAGTAGTAGTAGTAGTAGTAGTTTAGTAGTAGTAGTAGTAGTAGTAGTAGTAGTAGTAGTAGTAGTAGTAGTACTAGTAGTACTAGTAGTAGTCGTAGTAGTAGTAGTAGTAGTAGTAGTAGTAGTAGTAGTAGTAGTAGTAGTAGTAGTAGTAGTAGTAGTAGCAGTAGTAGTAGTAGTAGTAGGAGGAGGAGGAGGAGCAGGAGGAATAATAACGGGACATGCTAGAGGATATCGGGGAGGACGAGGACGCAAAGTAAGGAAAAAGGGGAGAGGAGTCACGAAGAGAGCTGGGGGAAGGCAGATCATGTATGAGGAAGATGGCGATGGACTATTTGAAGGAGGAGTGGAAGTATGAGGACGCAAAGTATGGAGAAATGGGGTGGTGGGGACGGCGGGTGATGGGTGAGGCGGATGAGGGGGGAGGGTGAGAAGGACGGCGAGGACGGCGAGGAGGATGTGGATGACATGCAGGAGGAACTGCAGGAAGACGACGCGGACGAGGAGGCGGAGGAAGGAGAACGGCAAGGAGAAGGAGGAGCGCTCTGGCTGGTGCCCGCGCCGATCCAGATGCATCGCGTGGGCCCAGAGGCGGCTGCCTGGCCCTGGGTCTGACGCCCACCCCCCCCAAAAGCGGGCCCGGGGCCCTCCACGACCCTTGATTTTGTTACAGGGCGGGACGGCGGATGATCAGGAGGGAAGGCCCAGGGGAGGAGTAGTCCTTGAGAACAAGCAGTTATCGTGTTGGGAGGAGGGGGTTGGGAAGATACAGGGCACGACTGGGAACAAACGCCTCCAGCATACGCAGTAATGTTGATCATGTGATCATGTCCCCCAGCCCCCAAACCTCCCAGCCTGATAACTGTCTTTCTGAATACTCCGCCGTCCTAGTAAGAGCCTCCAGCCTTCGCGGTAAGATTGGTGATGTGATCATATCTCCTAGCCACATCCTCCCAACCCGATAACTGTCTTTCTGACTCCTCCGCCGTCCTCCATTCTCCGCTCTCGTGGGACGGAACGGGACGTCTTCGGACGTTTTCGTCGGTTCTCCGAGGCTCTCCAGCCTCGGGGTTCTCTCCCAGCAGCTGCGCCTCGCCGAGGGCATTTCGCGGGTGCCCGAATCGTCCCGAACGGCCGCCGCAGGTCCGAGTTATGTATCATTCTCCATCCTCCACCGTCCTCCTCTTCCTCCTCCTCCTCCTCCTCCTCCTCCTCCCTTGTGGGAGGGAGGGGGGGGAACGTAGGAAAAGAGACGCCGACGAAGCGCGGGGAGGGAGGATATCAGAAGCCGACGAGGCGCGCTCACATCGCAGACTGCTCGTCGAGCCCGTACTCCCGGCACAGGCGGCCGAAGGCCTCCTGACCCACGGCCCGCCGCAGAGCCTTCAGCACGCGGCCGGAGGCGGCCTCCGAGGGCTTCTGGTCCTGCTCCTCCGGGGGGCAGCGTTGGAGGGGGGACGACCGGCTCGGGGGCGGAAGCGCTGAGCCTGGGCGGCGCGGCCGGAGGCGGCCTCCGAGGGCTTCTGGTCCTGCTCCTCCGGGGGGCAGCGTTGGAGGGGGGGCGACCGGCTCGGGGGCGGAAGCGCTGAGCCTGGGCGGCGCGGCCGGAGGCGGCCTCTGAGGGCTTCTGGTCCTGCTCCTCCGGGGGGCAGCGTTGGAGGGGGGGCGACCGGCTCGGGGGCGGAAGCGCTGAGCCTGGGCGGCGCGGCCGGAGGCGGCCTCCGAGGGCTTCTGGTCCTGCTCCTCCGGGGGGCAGCGTTGGAGGGGGGGCGACCGGCTCGGGGGCGGAAGCGCTGAGCCTGGGCGGCGCTGGCGGCGCCGAGAGATCGGCGCTGGGCCCCCGCTGGCGAAGCCGCCCGTTCCTGGGCGGCACGGGCCACCGAGCCCCGGTCGGCGACCTGCACCCATCCCTGCCCCAATCTGGAGTCTTCGGGCCCCCGACAGCAGCGAAATTCCGCGCTCCTGGGCGGCACGGGCCACCAAGCCCGTCGCCGTTCGGCGCCTCCTCTGCGCGGCGCCAGCCTTGAACGCGCAATTTTTGCGGCGGCGACCGTGTGGCCAGGGCGTCCCGCTGCAGGGGTCGTTCGGCCGTCCGCGCCAGGGCGCCCAACTCCGCAAAAACAACTCCACTGGCACGCAAACGCCTCTATTTTTTGGTCGCCGGTCGGCGACCTGCACCCATCCCTGCCCCCGGTGGTTCTCGGGCCCTGCCTCGGGTCCCCGGCGGCCGGGCGGGACAGGCCGGGCCCCCCCCCGCAGAACGCTCTCGGCGGGGCGCAGCCGCCGGAAGGCGCCCCCGAGGCCGGAGAAGCGCCCAAGAAGACATCGCTGAGGACGCCCGAAGGCCTCGAACCTGGGGCGTAGCCGCTGGAAGGCATCCCTGAGGCTGGAAAGCCTATCAGAAATCGCCCGAAGACGCCCGAAAACCTCGAGCCTAGACCCTCGAGCCTGTCCTCCCCCCCTCGAACCTCGAACCTCGAACCTCGAACCTCGAACCTCGAACCTCGAGCCTGGCCCCCCCCCAAGGTTGCCCCGGCTCCTCCGCGAAGGCCATCTCCTCGCGGAAGGCTGCGCCAGCCCGGTCCGCCTGGTTCGGGATGCTGTTGGCGTAGGCGTCGAGGAGCACCGCGAGGGACTCCGGCCCGATGCCGCCCCCACAGTCGCTGGCCTGACGCCGTGATAGCGGTAATGGAGGAGCCACCTCCTCCTCATCTCCTCACCTCATCTCCTCGTCCTCATCTCCTCCTGGTCTCCTCCCCTTCCTCACCCTCATCCTCTTCACGTCCACCTCCTCCTCCTCCTCCTCCTCCTCCTTCCATCGTCTTCTTTGTCTGCACCTCATCTTCTCCCTGTCTTCTGCTCCTCCATCACCGCGAACGCTGGTCTGACGCTGCGCATGGGAGGTATACGGTATGCAGGGCCCCCCTCCTCCCCCTCCTCCTCCTCCTCCTTCTCCTCCTCATCCTCCTCTTCCTTTCCCGCTTCCCTCGACTTGTCCAATCCACTCCTCCTCCTCCTCTTCATCCTCCTCCTATTACTCCTATCCCTCCTCGCCCCGACCTCCTCTATTTGTCCCTCCCCCCGTCCTCCTCTTCCCTCTTCCTCCCCCCTGCTCCTCCCTCCTCCTCCTCCTCCTCCTCTTCCTCCTCCTCCTCCTCTGTCTACTCCTCCCCCACCCTATCCTCGTCCTCAACTTTTCTTACATGTCGCAAACATGAGCGACGAGGCATTTGGCTTCTTCACTGCCAAGAAAAAGCCAGAAAACGTTCAACAACATCGGGTAAACAATACATTGACCTTAGTGCAGACTAACCGGCGCAGGAGGTGCGAAGAGAACCTGAAAAGAGCAGAAGCTCGCGAAGGCATAGAGTATTTAGATCTGCAGGCGTCGGCAAGGTTGTCCCCTCCTACCCATTGCCTCCACCTACACCTACACCTCCTCGCCTCCAAAATCCGATCTCAGCCGTGACAAGGGCCCTCGCCGACAGCTGGCAGTCAAAGTATAAAATGCCCTCACCGAGGGAATCTCTATGAACATGCTGAGTGCGATGTGCCAAACAGATCTCGATGCGTAGGCCTGTACTGCTGGGGCCTCTCCCAACGCCCTCGGAAATTGGGACTCGCGTGGAACTCGTTTTTAGTCTTCCCCACCCTCCACGCTGCTAGCCATCCTCCTCCACCACCTCCTGCATGCGCTGCGGGCGCAAGAACTGGCTCTCATCCTCCAGGCGTAAAGGAACGCTCATGGCGACACTCGTGTCATGCCAACCACATCTGCTGGAAACACGGAAACACGAGTCTTGACAACTCATGGCACATTGCTGCGAGCCGAATCCCAACTCCTCATCGCCTACTCGAGGCTCGCGCCACCTCAACCTTAGTTAGGGGCACAGCCTGCTGCGCCTGTTCCTCGCTGATGGCCCGCGGCGGCACGAAAAGAGAGCGGAGGTTGACAACTCCGCCACCTCCTCCTCCCACAACCTGCCTGGATTGCTGCACTCACCGAGGGTCTGTCCTATATTTTGCCACTTGCCAGCGTAAAGCTGAGAGGAGAAAGTATATCATATACCAGTGCTGCCGATTGAAATGGCACTTTCTGGGCAAACTGTGCTCCCATTCTTGTGTGCATAATGGCCCTGGTGGCCAAGAGTCTGGCGACGACTCGCTAGAAGATGCTATTCCGCCACCGCGCGCCCCCATGATGAACGACACCACCTCCGCCTCCAACTCCCCCTGCCCTTACTGGGGTCTGTTTTGCATATCCACAAGACAAGATCTCGGCATGCTGCAGGCGTAAAGCTGGGGAACGAAAGCTTGAGAAAGCTACGCGGTAACCCTCACCGCGGGCACTTATTCATCACTCCTGCATGGATCCAGCTGGCATCAACACATATTCCTCTACCGCCTCCTCATTTCCTCAAGTCCCCACGCTGCCCTTTCCCTCCTGGGTCGGTGCCCTCATAGAAAGCCTTTGCTGAAACACTGCCCTCACCGAAGATCTCTTTACTGGAAGGCTGCCCTCACCGAGGGTCAGATTAGCAGTACCTCCTCCGCCTCCGCTACCGAACCAAACGATCTCCTCCGCCTCCCCCGCCCGTGCAACTCCTCCTCCTCCTCCTCCTCCTACTCCTCCTCCTCCTCCTCCTCCTCCCTCCTCCTCTCTCCGTGCGCGCGGTGCGTCGCGGCGTCGCGCGCGGTGCGTCGCGTCCTTTCTGCGCAGGCCCCTGCAAGTTCCCCCGTCCACTGCGGGAGGCGCCGCGCTCGAACGACGAGCGCTCGGGGGGGCCTGCCGCTCGGGCGGGGCCCCGTTCCGTGAAGGCTCCGCCCTCCATCTTTTGCGAAGCGAAGCGGCAGAGGCAGGACGTCACGGGTGAAGGACACGTCCATGCACGACCTCGCTCCGATAGATATCTGCCCTGCAGCCATGAACGTGCTGCCCAGAGTGCTGCCCAGAGCGTTGGTGCACAGTTTTGCTACAATCTCCAGGGCGGGCCCGATTTTGACAAGGAGTCGCCCTTATCCGTGTGGCTGTCGTACGGTGTGGATTTTCGGGGCATAGAGTTTGAGGAGGTCCAGGGCGAGAGCCCAAACTTGAGAACGAACCGTCCTCCATCCGTGCCGCTACTGGGAAGATGCAGAAGGAAACAATTGGGCGTGGTGGTTTGGCGAGAGATCCTTGTACTTGCTGGGAGCTTGTAACACAAACTGGCCCGGCGCTGAGGAGCAAGTCGCATGTGGATTACCATCAGTCCTGTTTCCTTGTAGGTGTTTTTCTTCCCCACGTCCTGACTGGGGTTCTTGTTCCCCAGAAAGCTTTATGTCCTTCTTCCTCCTTCCTGCTCTCGAGCTCCTCCTCCTCCTCCTCCTCCTCCTTCTCCTTGTGCTTCTCCTTCTCCTTCTCCTTCTCCTTCTCCTTCTCCTTCTCCTCCTCTTCCTCCTCCTCCCCTTCCTCCTCCTCCTCCTCCACCTCATGCAAGCTCCAGGCCCCCTCACGCAAGCTCCACGTCACCTTCTCTTGCAAATCCCACCAGCCCTCTGGGCGTGAGTGGTTTAGGGAGCCCTCTCTGTCCTTAACCCCTTTCTTCCCCTTCGGGGAGGGGTTTCTCACTGTTCCCTATTAATAAACACCCCCTCCACCAGGCGACTGGGGGCCAACCCGAGTCCATGACAACACCCCCCCACCATCCCTTGTAACAAACAATACAAACCACACTCTGCCTCCAAATTCGGAACATGCGCAGCCAACCCGATGCGGCCCCCCCATCCCTGTCAAAAACAATACAGAGTACACTTGGCGGCGGCGGCGGCTGAGGCGGCTGCGGCGGCGGCGGCGGCGGCTGCGGCGGCTGCGGCGGCGGCGGCGGGCGGCGGCGGCGGCGGGGCGGCCCGGCGGCGGCGGCTGCCGGCGGCGGCGGCGGTGGCGGCAGCGGTTGCGGCGGCGGTTTGGCAGCGGGGGCGGCGGCGGCGGCGGCGGCGGCGGGGCGCGGCGGCGGCGGCGGCGGCGGGCAGCGGCGGGCGGCGGCGGCGGCGGGCAGACGGCGGCGGCGGCGGCGGCGGCGGCGGCGGAGGCGGCGGAGGCGGCGGCGGATTGGCCCCCAGTAGCTGCCCATCCAAAGACGACTGCTGAATATGCTGAGGCTCGGGCCAGACTCGGGTGCTACGTATGTGTTGGGAGGGCGGGTGGGAGTGAGCGAGACGGCTTGCGGGCGGGGAGGGGGTAACTTGACCCCTCCCCCTACCCCCTCCCCGTGGACCTGGACAGGCCGTTCCGCGGGGCGTCAGGGCGTCCAAGATGGGCAGCAGAAAAGGCGCCGCATGCTTTAATTTCATAGGGTTTCGGGACCCGACGGGGGGACAGAGAAAAGTGCTCGTCCCTGTTTTGATCGATCGCCTCCAAGATGGCCCCAAGAGAGACCCCCCCAAAGAGCCCCAAGAGGGCCCCAACAGCGCCCCAAGAGAGCCCCAAGGGAGCCCCAAGGGAGCCCCGAGAGGCACCACGGGAACCCCAAACGGGCCCACAGACCTCCAAAATATCCCCAAGAAGGTCCCGGGATACCCCCAAGATGCCTCCAAGAGCCTCCCAGAGCGAAAGACCCAGAGACGTAGAAGGATATATGCGTGGGCAGGAGGAAGTGCGCCCGAAAGCCACGACTGCCGGCATGCTTCGCACAAGAGACTGTTCTGGAATGGGCTGGTGGGGATGCGCGAAGCGTGAAGAATTCCTCCTCTTCCTCCCCATCCTCCTCATGATTCTCGTTTTCGTTCTCGTTCTCGTTCTATTCCTCCTCCTCCTCCTCCTCCTCCTCGTCCTTCTCGTGCAAGGTCTTACCACGTAGCCAGCTTCTTGCCTCCTCCCCCCCTCCGATTTCCACCAACCTCACGGATGCCACAAATCCTACCTCAAAGGAAGCCGTGCCCACTACGAAGGCCACATCTGCGAAACACGTGTTACGTATCAAGGATCGTGCCCCATCCCTCCACTGGCCCCGCCAATAGCACAGATTCTGCCTCCAGGGAGGCTGTCGGACTGCGCGGGCTATGCGAAAAACGTGTTCTTTATCAAGGATCGTGCCCTCCCCCCTCCACCAGCCCCATCAGTAACACACGTTCTACAAACAAGGGGGCCGCGTCGGACCGCGCGGGCTATGCGACACCCGTACTCTTCACCAGGGATCGTGCCCTCTCCCCTCCACCAGCCCCACTGGCAGCACAGGTTCTACCACCAGGGAGGCCGTGCCAGGCTGCGCGGGCTATGCGACACCCGTGTTCTTCATCAAGAGCCATGCCCTCCAGCCCCCGCCACCACCCACCAGCAGCACAGACTCCACCTCCAGGGTGGCCGTGTCGGACTGCGCGGGATATGCGAAACACATACTATGTATCAGGGATCGTGCCTCCCCCCGTCCACTAACATTACAAATAACACATATTCTACCTCCAGTGAAGCCGTGACGGACTGCGCGGGCTATGCGACACCCGTGTTCTTTATCAGGGATCGTGCCCTCCAGCCTCCACCAGCTCCACTGGTAGCACATAATCTACCTCCAGAGGGACCGTGTCGGACTGCTCGGATTGCTTCCCTTCCTTGCTTTCCTCTGTCCTCCCATGTGTGCATAGCAGTGTCGTGAACCTCCCGTTCATATTGCCACTGATATGCCCCGTTGATCT